TTTATAAAGGGCATTTTAAACGTATTCCAAGTCCAATACCAGGATCAGTCGAGTCCAGACCAAGTCCAAAGGCAACCAAGACCAAGAAACTAACACTAACTAATCCCACAGAAAACAATATGTAAAGAGTAAGCTGACGAAGATCTTAACAAAAGTGAAATGAACTGAAGCAGCTAAGAGAGATGCAGCAATGATACAAGTTGTGTACTGTATCTGGTTTTAGCCACCTTGACAACAAGTTTATCCCACTGCTACATGTGCAGACGCCAGGAAAAACAGAATAACGACAAATTAAAACAGAGATTAGCAATGCTACAGAAGCCAGTAAAGCCATCAAATCCTAAATCAACTGTACAATAATTTAAGCAAAAGATGTCTATCTGACAGGCTAGCTAGAAGACGTTAGCTATCTATCTAACTAGCTAGCTATCAGCATATGATGGCTTTCTAATTTAAAAATATAAATATGATTTAATACGGTCAAACTAAAAATGCAGACGTGTGTCTACTCTCTACCAATAAGTAGAAATATTAAAAACATTTCCAACATGCTTTTTGTTCTCTGACTGGTCACACTCTCACAGCCAGCAGCTCTTCACAGCTCTGAAATTCCCAAATGTTATTTTGGATAAAACAATCACATATTGGGATTCTAAACAGTTGCTTTGCCTGAAAAAGTATAAAAACACGTAACAGTTTGTTGAAAAGTTGTATATATATATATATATAAGGCCAACAATGCTGTGCAAACAAATAGCACTTCCACTCTGGACGGAAGTTTGTACATGACATACTTGCCACAGTACAAACAGAAGCAGTGACATTTGTTATCAGTGAAGTCAAACTATTTGCTGCAACATAGACAAAAGAAGAGACAAAGATTGGCTCTTTTTATGTAACCATGAAGAAGCTGGAAGGTTGAAAATAAGCAGATACTATATCTTCCTCCATAGTTTACCTAACTGTATGGGCTTATTAACAGCTGTTTGTATAATGCGTTTCCTCTGAGGGGCTGGTTTGTGAGCCTGCATGTATTCAACTCTAATAATTGTTCTTTTGGATGTATGGTGTATACAATATATACTTATACGTTTATACTTAACAAGGATTCCATATACTCATGGCCCGTCTCTGTGAATTTTCACAAGATAATTAATGCATTGGGAACACCCTCATTATGGATAGTCTTCCATATTGAGCCTTATATTTGGCTATATTCAGATCATTGGTTTAAAATAGCAGCCTCTTAATGAACTTGAATCAATAATCTATCTCAAATACTCATAAAGATCAGTTTCTCCAAAACATTAGCAATTTATTTTCTTTTATGGTTTCCCAGAAAGAAAATATGTGTCTACTGTATGGTGTGAGAAGTTATATCATTTTGACATAATCGACCTCCAGACCATACCAAACCTGAACACACAAAACACATTGGTATCATCCAAACGTTTTAGAAAATGTTCTGTGTCACTGCAGACCTTTCCGTATTGCCCAAAAACTGACATTGGTTTTAAATATTGATTTTGACGCTTTTCAGTGTCAACGTCATCAATAACTAATTAGGGCGGTCATTGTATCTTCCCAAAAAGTGCTGTGTGTGGCTCTTCAAATATGTGTTAAAGGATCATAGTCAATTGTTTAACTGAATAGACTTGGTTGTCGATGGTGTATTACTGTCTAATATCGGACCCAGGACCCTTCCCCCCTGCTGTAGGGCTGTATCACTCCCTTTATTTTAATGCCTCATGTATGTGACACTGAAATATAATTACTCTGTAATGTCTACTCTTGTAGAAGTTTGTAATTTATCACTAATATATACGGCTACTTCTCATGTACAGTAGGCTACGCTTTCCTTCTGTGTCACATGACTCCAGACTGAATAACAAGACCACAGACCTAAAATAGCCACAGTTTGAGTTCAGCCGATGACACTTGTTGCAGGTCCTCCCATTTTCCATCACAAATGAAAACACCCACAAGGCACATATGCATCAGAGGGACTGATTCATTGATTAGGATAACACAAATGCCACCTGAGGTTGGAAAAGTGATGAAATACCCCGTTGAATCAGAGTTATTTTCTGCTTCATACTGTTGCATCCTCATGCATGAAATCACCCTTTCCGTAGTGTACAAACCAGTTGCCATGACCTTACTTTATTTCATGTGCTTTGCATGCTGTATCTGTAATAAAACATCAGTCTCATTAGTGATATTTTTGTCCTCTCACACGTAGTAGTTACTTGTACAGAGGCCCACCCACAGTGCCGCTGCAGCCGTACATGGACACACACTTCACGTTCTAAATTTAACTGCTTATTCATCAAACCCTTAGGCAGCCAAATCACACACACTGCTGCTTCATCAGAGATTTCACTCATATACACTGTAGACAATTGATAACGAGTGGAAGTAGGAGTGGAAACAAGATCTCAACAGAGAGTAATGGAGAGAAGAAAGGGTTAAATTGATGAGCTAGGAACATTTTATTTTAGTGCACATACAGTGTAACCCACATATCCCTGCTGGGGATATTCAGAAGCACAGCAGAGTTACTTTGCTGTTTTGATTTGATGAATATTCATGATCAGGCAGAGAGAGGGAGGGAGCCTTGTTCATGTCAGCATTTTGACGTGTTTGCTGCTGCGGGCTCGCATGAAGAGGTGTTGCTGAGAAAGGCTGATGCTAGATTATGTCTGAGCTCAGTCTCCGTGCAAATAAACCAATATCAGCTACTTGTATGCTTGAGCTTATTCTTCAGAGTCCATCCAAAGCTCATAATCGTGAATGAAGTTGAGTCAGTAGACTGAAGGGTACATCGAGAGATTCACCTTCAGACTTAGCATCCTCTTCACCAAGGCAAAGTACAGCCGTTGTGTTTCATCTGACACCACGCCAATCCACTTGTTAATCTTACATATACTCGAGTACAAGAACTCAAAATACTTGTACTCCTTTATATCGGGGATTAACACACTGTCAACGCATGCAGTGAAAACTGACTTGCATACTAATGTTCCAGACCTTGGAAATGCGGCCAACATCATAGATTTGTTTAGCAATTCAAATAGGTCTCGTTTTTTGTCCATCAGAGTCTGAAATTAATGAGGTTTCTCATCACTGTTGCAGCTCAATGAACATTTGTTCCCGTACACTGTGTCTGCCTTTTCTGAAATCTATGTTAAACACTTTCAAATGGTGAACAATGGGTCAGTGGTACCAGACAATATGGAATATATCATGTAACCTCAATTCCAGACTATTTAACCTACCTTTTTCTAAGCCAATATTAACCCTAACCGTAATAGTACCCCCTGCTTCCCATTGATGGACGTTTACTTGGTCAGGGAAGCACTCCGACAAGTGTAATGAGTTGGAATATCTTATTAAATCATATTTACAGTATGTGTATAATATGCATCAGAGGCGGCAGGAAAAATGTACTTTTAGCCAAAAAGATGTTAAGTCTTCTTAATTGCCGGACAATAAAAGGTAAGGGACAGCTTTGCGTTTTTTAGACGTTAGTAATTCGCACATGATAAAAGGTAAACCTAATAAGATTTACACAAATAGGAAACATTTACAATAACACGGCAACACTCCTTTAAATGCAGAAACTCTTTTTGTTGGTGGTTAAAAATGTAATATTTTTCTCGGCTTTATTAAAGGATTGTTGATTGAAAGTAAAAGGCCGCTGCATTTGCTCTCTTTTTCTTCTCACTGCATTAACTCACATACATATTCATGTATTCTCTCTCCCTCTTATTCTTCCCCTCAGCCCCACACATCTTGGCATTAATATATTCCTCACGTGGCAGTGCATTAATAGTACATTTTATGTCAAACCTTCCCTCTTTTTTTCCTATAGCACTAGTTTTTTTTCAGTTTCCTTCATCCCTCAAACCTTTTCTACCTTCCCTTCCTCAACAATCTACTCGCCCTTTCTTTTTGCTTTGCCCATATTGCATTCCCTTTCAAGCTTCTTCATTCTTACTTTATTGTCCTTTGAACCTCCCCTCTCTGGGCTTTTCTTCATCTTCTATTTATGTCCTGTTCATATTTTTTCCTCTCCCTTTCTTCTTCTATTTTTCACCCCTCCCTCTTTATCTCACTTTTTCTCCGCCTAAAGCAATCTTTGTTTAAATTTGAAAAAGCAGGAAGCACTGTGACATGGTAATATTGTTTGGTGCAGGGTCGTGAAGCTTGAATTGTGTGTACAGAAAGGGACTCTCACGTCAAAAATCAGGATAAGAACCATGTGTCCTACAGATATTGTTTGGTTTCTCTTAACCATGGAAATCATCTGACCTCCACCAATTAGAATTAACCTTATTTTCAAGAAAAACCGTGTTGTTGTGGTAACTCGTAGCGCTTCTGCATTTTACAAAGTGGCCACAAAATGTAGTTTCACCTTGATCAATATATATTGCCTTTACAACGAGAAAATGTTTTTATTATTGGCTCGACAAATGCTGCTTTGGTGTTTTAATTATGTGTTCAGCAATGCTCATTAGTTCCCTTTATTCTATATAATCAAAGAGACTAGTACCAATAACTTGCCCACCAGTGACGATAGTGTTCAGGACAATAATCTTTACTTGAAATAAACACTATTACATGTTTCACTTAGTACTAAGAGTATTCATTTTGCAACGCATATTAAAAAAAGTGAAGTATAAATAAAAGTTTCCCAAGTTTCTTATGAATTCCTGTCCTTAAGACGTTTTCCTTCGAGGTCAAGGAAAAAAGGTTTGGCAAAGTAAACCAAGATTATTCTTATGACTATGACCCTTTTCAAAACTGGCGCAAGGTGGGAAGTTTGAACCACTTGAGATTACCCAAAACAACATTTGATGGCATGTTAAGTGGTTCTTTGAATTAAACTCACCTTCAAATGTTTGTTCAAATAAGTTACAGTGAGTATGGCATTATCGTTCACAGTAGCTTGATCATGACATTATGTGTGACACCCCACTTCTTCTTTCCGTCAGGTGAAGTAAAGCCCCTCGCTCTGGAGATGGAGTACCCGGACGACTACCTCCTGTTGTCCCAGCTGGTTCACTTGCAATTCAACGACTCGCTCAACTTCAACGGTACCTACAACGAGACCGACACACTACTGCCAACCGGGTCAGAGTTACTATCGTGGTGGTCTACATGATTGTCTGTGTCATCGGCCTTGTGGGAAAACTTCCTGGTCATGTATGTCATCATCAGGTAAGAAAAACTCATGTTTCTTCAGGTAAATAATACACTAAATGGAACCTTTTCTAAAATAAATAATTATTGTATTAGACTCTAGACCAAGGCAGACTTCAAAACTGACACTAGCTTCTAGATAGCTCTTGAAACAAGTTGACTTTATATTGTTACACAGAAGACTTATTACAATAGATTTTGCAATAAGCTTTGACTACAATTATATTCTGCTCTTGTAAAGTATTTATGTTGATCCTTATGGTCTCAACAAACAAGTCTCTAACGCAGGGATGGGCCAAATGGTGGCCCGTGGGCACGCTCTGACGTTAAGTTATCGCTTGTAATTATGCCGTTACAAGCTTAAAAGTTGCATTATCATCTAAATTTGGCGAAACAAGTTTAATATTCTAAAACCAAGACTTTGTTTATTTGAAATCAGATGAAAACAATTGTCACGGACCCCTGCCGTGTTATCTATGATTACTATACGCTTTTCATTCATAATTTCAGCGGGAGGGAGGAGGAGCAGCGCTGAGGAACAGCAGAGTGCTGGTTGACAGGTGTCTGTGTTGACATTCCCCTTATTGTGCCTCAGCAGAGACAGGCTACAAGTGTCTTAGGTTCAAGTTAGACAACTAATGTCTGGGTTAGTGTTCATGACTTCATGTTTATTTCATCTTAATGTTTAATCTTAATGGCTGCACACACATTTTCCGTGCTTTCCAATAGTTTAAAATAGTTGTATTCTACTGTTAAAGGTGTGGTAGGTAATTTACTTCAGAAACACTTTTTGTTATATTCCATGGAATGCTCTTAACATCCCGATTGCAATGAATACATTAAATGCTTTGACAATAAATACATAAAAAAACGTCATCTGTGAAAGCCGTGGCGCTGTAAAAAGCACGACCAATCATCTGAGCCGGCCCGGCTAAAGTAACTGGATGACCTACCTGCCTGTCAGCCTTCTATCTGTGCACAAACTTATCTCGTGCCCTCATTGGTCATGTGCGCATTCGTGTGTGTTGGAGGAGGGGCTCTGTAAGGAAGTCTGAAAGAAGAGGCAGATTTTTTCCAGTTGTGTATTTTCAAATTCTAGCGCACTCAAGCTGGTTTCTCCATTCTTACCTACCCCACCTTTTAAATAACCTGTTCAATACAAACATGCCACTTGTAAAAATTAAATAATATTTCTGTGAACTGATATTTGTTTAGTGAGCTTTGAGGTGGTTCGGGCACCTAGTTAGGATGCCACCTGGGCGCCTCCCTAGGGAGGTGTTCCAGGCACGTCCAGCTGGGAAGAAACCAAGGGGTAGACCTAGGACCAGGTGGAGGGATTATATCCAGGGGTGCACATAATTTTTTTGCCCTGGTTCTCAAAGGAGCACCTGGAGATGTTGCTTGGTGCTCATCCTTAAAATGAAATAAACTGTAACTTTTGAGGGGGTCTTGACTTTATTTGCCAGACACACGGCACTGAACACACGTGCAGAGGTGAACACAGAACACACATGCAGAGGTGAACACAGAACACACATGCAGAGGTGAACACAAGACAACATTAGCACGACCAGTAATCCTACAAGCTGTCATCACTACCCTCCTGACTGTTCTCCTCACTGTCTTCCTCTCTGTCAGACATGGTAGCTGATGATGTAGGCCTACTTCTTTCTCTCTGGTTGAGTCTGCGATTAGCATGCTTGCATCCACAAGTCAACAGCTGGTTTTGGGTCGAAAGTCTCTGTTGTCATCTTAGACAAGTGGATGTACTCAAATAAGTATGTGAACATAACCAATAACCTACCATAGCCAATAACAAATGAATGTAACTTATTTTATTTATGTTGTTCATTCATATCTTATTTTACCTTAACATTTATTTATGCATTTTTTTTTATCTCTCCAGTTTTAAAGGATATTTTCGTTTACTGTCCTATAGTATACATTGGAATGATTTCAAACCTGTTTATCCCAATAATTATAAAGGAGTGCCTTGGAAATATGTGTTTACATAAATTGTGATCAAAACGTTTGAGATCCACTGAGATAACTTAGACTAAAGTGAACTATCTAAACACTCAGAGTGCTTACCTCACTGAGCTGTAGTATCAGCCTCTCAGTCTGACTGGAGAGGACTCTCCCTCCACACATTATTGTAGAAACATCTTCTTCTTATATCCGTTAGAGCAGCTAGCACGGCACCAGATTCGAATAACAACAGCGCCGGAACCGGTGCAACCCTCCCTCTCTCCCTCGCACTTTGGCTGTGAGCTGCGGGCGCCAGATAAGCCAACATCCCCCATTTTCATCACTTACAGCGCCCATTGTACAGGGCAAAATGAAACGTGTAACCGGGGTGAAAAGGGTTGTTACATTTACTTAATTATGATAGTGTTACATCAAGGCAAACAATTAGGATGAGCACCAACGGTCAAAAAGTTTTTTTCCCTCCCAGAACTGCCAGCGCAGCGCCTCCACAGATCTGGCGCCCTAGGCGAACATCTATAACTCCATTGCTACGGGCCTGCCCTGAGTTCATATGCAACTCGCAAATATCTTTCTCTCTCCTCTCTCCTCTCTCCTCTCTCCTCTCTTCTCTCTTCTCTCTTCTCTCTTTTCTCTTTTCTCTTCTCCCTTCTCTCCCTCTCTCAATGTTGGTACGCAAATGCGCCTTTTTTCAAATGACCCGGTGCTCTTTTTTTGGTGGAGGTGTGCATGCGCACCTGCGCACCAGTTATGTGCAGCCCTGATTATATCTCTTCGCTGGCCTGGTAGCGCCTTGGGATCCCCCAGTCAGAGCTGGTTGATGTGGCCAGGGAAAAGAACGTTTGGGGCTCTCTGCTGGAACTGCTACCCCCCGTGACCCGACCACGGATAAGCGGGAGAAGATGGATGGATGGATGGAGCTTATTAGAGGATGTTCCTTGAAAGATTGAAACATGTCAATGAAGATGTCAGACTTAGTTTATTTGTTAATAATTACATACAATACATGGAATTTGTGTATGTGTGTGTTACAAGTGAATCTGCGGCCCCGTGGTGGCCAGTACATACATTATGTGGCCCCCACCACCATCCAAGTTGCCCATCTCTGCTCTACGGTGTAGCGACTTCATATTTTCAGAGTCAGGAATGATGATATGACCGCTGTTGCTATAGCAATCCACACAGAAAGGACAACATTCCCAAAATAAAAGTCTGTCAGATTGATTCAGTTGTTTTAAGATGTTGTGAGAATGTTATTAAAGTAACAGCTGGATGTTGAAGCAGCTGCTCTGCCTCACTTCATCAGTCTGAGGTTCAGTCACTTTCACTGTGGCTACTTCTGAATTATTACCCCTCACCTTAGATGTGTTTAAGGGATCAAAGAAAAACACATTGATTCATACTGTCAATGTTTTTTTTTATATTGTCCAGTTCAAAGCATTACCTTCAAAAAAGTTTGTGACAAATCAAGGTGATATTTCAGGGCACAACAGAAACCATCAGCAAGCGTCTACCTTTGTTCACATACATTTTTGTTCTATCTTTGCTCTGTGTGGTGTGTTTGCATGTGTGGATGAGCACTTGGGTGTTGTGAGAGTTAGTGAATGCGTGTGTGCAGTCATCGTTGGCTCAGTGGGCAGCTGCTGTCTGCTTTTTTTTTTCATATGGTAAGTTGACCACATTTATATGCCGCTTTTCCATATATGAGTCACCTTTCACACACATTCATACTGCCATACGATACGTAACACTCACACATATCCACCCAAACGTTGGCCATGCCGTTGGGATCACCTTGCCCAAGAACACATCGGCATGTTGACTGGGGAATGTAATCACCTTGCAATTGGTCCAATCTACATCCAGAGTAACAGCAGCCCCACCTACTGTATGTATTTGTGTTTCCATGTTATTGTTGGTATACTTTTGCTCTTAATTTAGGTCGTATATCTTGTTTAGACAGACAGCTACAGTAGCAGTGTTACACATGACTGACAGCTCTCTCCTTGCTTGTGGTTTACAATCTGGAGAATAGTGGCGGTCTAATGGAAATGTTGTCAAATTTCTCAATAAAAGTTGATGGACGGATGTGCACATGTACGCACACTCACTGATGATTCACCGCCATAGGCAACTCATTTTCCTGCTTAACACTATCAGCTCTCAGCCATTGCCTCTCAGTACAGATGACTGCTCTCGACACCACAACATTTACGGTGTCAGAAGGCAGCATGCTCCATTATTTAACTGTGACATGTTGGATGAAAGGGCTGATTACACAAGATGGCCAACCTCGACACTTGCCATTACCAAATGATGCAGACCAAAGAACAGGTCACAGCCCTCCTTAGCCTTTAATCCCCAGCAAATATCAGTGAATTCATGTCACTGTATCTGATACCTTTGCTAACACAGCTCCAGACATTTTTAAGGTGAACAGCAAGTAAGTAGAAACCTGACAGGCAGTACGTAGAAAAGCCAAAGAGAACAAGGACACGTCTAGCTTTCTGAACAGCCACATTGATATAGGGAGATTAATGGTTCAGGCAAAAACTACATCTCAAATATTCGCAAATGCTTGTCATAAAAATAATTGAGGTGTGTGAGACATGCATCAGTGGCGTTCTGGCGTCACTAGAGCGCTATTGAATCAACTGTGAGTAGATTAGGAAAATGTTGGCGGTCAAGTTTATGTATGGGAAACACTGAAGTAGCTGTCAAGGAGCTTTGAAGCATTAAAGACTAATATCAGACTTAGTGAAGCTCAGGGCAGGATCTGAATGCTCTGAGTTTAAAGATGTACAATCGTCACAAAAACCTAAAGAACGGGACTCAATGTGGATCTGCAATACTCAGTTTTAAGGTGATGGATTGTGGGTTATAACCTGAGATGGATTTGCATCTTATCCAGGAGGGATTTAGCAGGTTCAAACTCATAACAGTGGGATAGCTGTACAACTCTCCTATTCATGGTGAGAGACTGCAGAGAGAAAATGTTTTAATGTAAATAGAGTCGGTTTTCATCTAGATGC